ACGGATTGGCTACGTTCTGACTGTAGGACTTAATGCTCATCTCGGATTTTTTTGTGAAATCCAAGTTTTTTTTAGTTTTTTCGTTCACGTTTCCAATTAAATGCGACTTGAATGTGATCTCCCATGTGGACCTGATATGACTCAAAAGTGTCCCACATGCACAGAAGAGGACACAACAACGTCACATGCAGCAGCGTGCTCAGTGTTTACGAAAGTAAACACGGATGGTGGTGGTGATGGCGGCCGCAGCTGCCGCCACCACCGATGGCACAAACGGAATTGTGACCGCTATCCTAAACTAGCATCAGCCGCCAAGTACTGCCTGTGCGTTCAGGCCACTTCCACCCTGTCAGAGCGCTACCCCGTCGGAGCGCTCAGTGGTCCCCCTGACCGCGCTGAATATTCGGATACTCCTCATTAATTGGGCCTGAATATCCAGAGACCAGAAAGTTCTGTTTGGACCAGCCCTACTAGTTATTATAACAGCTATGAACAACAATTAACAACAAATTACCCTTCATACATCAAGCCCTCCTTGTATCTCGACCTCCGTCTTGACAATCCGACAGCCTTGCTGTCCGACATAAAAGAAGGTTTTACATTTAGTGTCGGATTATCGAGTCACGACCGTATATATATTTTTTACATATACATATTAAATTGCTACATAATGCATTTTATAATTCTAACTTATACGTAACATTTTGTACCTTTTGTTTTCCCTTCTGCCCCTCTGACGAGCACAACTCTTCTTCTACTCTGGAGCTCATTTCTCTCTTATTTCTTGCGCAGGTGTCCTGGGAGGGGGGAGGATGCAGCGGGGGTCGTCAGTAGACAGCAGTGGGTCCAGGTTCACTCCTCTGGTGGTGGTGGAACTGGCCTCCAACACCAAGGAAGAGGCAGTTGCATGGCTGCTCAGCAGGATAAGAGACCAGCAGCAGAATGGAGGTATGGAAGTTCATCTGCTCTCCTCTATTAGTTGCTTTCTGTGTGGTTTTTTTTTGTTTGTTTTGTTGTTTTTTTTACTACACTGATTATTTAAAATGTCATTTCTTCCAGGTGCTGAGTTGTTCGTGGAGCAGTTGGGTCCTGGAATTGATGCTCAGGAGAAGGAAAACCCCAACATATTTCTGGTGGGGGCCTCCTGGCAGAGGCTGCTCTCTGGTGCTGAGGATGTGGGCCTCTTCAAGGAATACAGTGATGGGTCCATGAGGGGCTTTACACGTGCCAACAAACACAACTTCAAAGACTTTAATGGTAAAGTCTGACAGGGTCTCAGCGGCGCTCATGTATGCGCTGCTTCACGACACTTCATGTCACTGTCCCATTTCTAACAAAGACAAAATCACACATGTTCCATTGTGCTATTGTGTTGGTAAAATGTCAAAATTATGTTGAAATGGAATTTCCTCTCTCTTTTCATATGAAGAGAGAAAAAACATTCCCCCTGGTATTCAGCTAAATAACAAAAATATAGTGTATAATTGTACATCATATCTATTTGTCCTTTCAAGATTCATTTTAATTGTTAGTCCTTCATTACTGCTAAATAAGTTGCCTGCTGTTTGGTAGCAGGATCATTGTTCATTATTGTCACTGTTCAAGCATGTCTGATTGCTAATCGTCAGTGCTCCAAGCCTTCAAACTCCAAAATCAAAAGAGGTGTCAGAACAAACTGCTGTCATTGCAGCTGATACACTCTGACTGCAGTATTGGTCACAGTTTGAGATGACTGGCCTCCCGATCACAGCCTCTGAATTGTAGCCGTATTGCTGTTTAACATGCCTTTGATGTGAATGTCACCGTGGCTGTTTGTTTGCTGTTTGTCTCTGATCTGCTCTGTCTCTCCAGGGGATGGAGACGACTTCCTCAGTATGGCTGAGTGTCAGTACATTATCAAACATGAACTGGAAACACTGCGAGCCAAAGATGAGACTCATGTACCAGGACACAGCCAGGCCAAGCTCTACCCCGGGAAATCTATCAGTGAGTCTCTGTCCACATCTCACTCAGTTTAGATTTAAATGAGCTTTATAGTGATCCACTTACTGATGTTTTATTACTTGTTAAGTATTTAACTCACTCAAATAGACAAAAGAAGACATTTTCATCTGCCTATTTTAGCTATAAATGCTATTTAAACAATAATTAAATTTATAGTATTTAGATTTTGGAAGCTTTGTTGGATTAAACAAGCAGTTTAAAACATCATCTTGGACTCTGGAACCTTGTGATTGGCATCTTCACTGTTGAGTCTAAAAGCATTCATCGGCCTAGCTGAAAATAATGGTTAAGAGCTGCTGACATTCTGTAACATAATGATCTGAAAGAACATGTGTACATGATGATTTTTGCCAAGAGAATCAATTAGTATAGTAATGGTTGTTGGTTGCATTATACAAATGGCCACAAATTATTAAGCAACAGCCACTGACTACTGACTCTTGTGTAAATGATGTCAAAGCAGTAATACTACACTCTTTCACCTTGTAGCATAGTTTATCAGTTCCAGCTTTTGACAGGATTTTACTATTTTATTTTCTACATGACTTAGAAATACTATAGTAGTAGTAGCGTTGTTAAGTTGCAAAAATGAAGGCAGCACAACTCAGCCTCCACCTCTCCTTGGGAACAGACTAACACAGCCTTTCTCCCCCACTGCCGCCTTTGTACCTCCCTCTCTCTTGCCGTCTATCTCGCTCTCTCTGTGGCTGCAGTATGGAAACAATAAATATGCAAATGCAGTGAAATATTCCCAACGCGAGATAAGGAAGCAATGAACTTGCAGTGGAGATAGGATGCCTCTATTCAGCGCTTGTGTTTGACAAATCGCATTAAAGCAGAATGTAATCATTTTCGACAAATGATGCACTCAAGAAATAGCAGATGAAATGATAGAGCTTTCATGTACTTGTATTTAGTCGCTGTGTATTGGACAATAGGAATTCTTGCTATAGACAGTGCATTGTGTACAATGGGCAAGCTCCCAGCTATTGTTTGCCTGTCCTTGTTTTAGAAAATTAAGCTGCATGTTTACTTAGTTGGGAAAGTGAGTTCAGACAAACAATAGTGAGGTATAAAAATACTACAAAGACGTTTTATCATCTTCCCAAAAGTCAGCAAAGCATGTTCCAAATATTTCACAGGAAATATGCATTTACCAAAATACCGAAACATATTTTTATTCATCGCAATGTACATTATTAAACAGATCAGAATGGTATGATGCTAGCAGGAAGTAACACGCATGTTTTCTTATTTATGTCTTAGTTCGCAGACTGCTGTCCAAAGGGATTCTGGTCCAGATTTTTCCTCTGCATGAAAAGGAAGAACTAAAGAAGCTCTCTTTTTCTTGGTATAAAAAGGTGAAGTTGTCCCTTCAGCCTCTTGGTAAGTGGAAGATGTATCCCGATCTCTCATTGTTTCTCTTGAAAACGTTGTGAGGATTGAGAGTAGTCCACATTATGTAGGATAAACAGTTGCTTTGTGTGTAGTGGGACTGTGGTCAGACGAGGGCCGCACCTTACACTGTTCCCTATAACAATGTATAAAGGTCTTGAAATCCTTATTATTTACTTTGGATGATTCATTTGTTCCCCTTATTTCCTGTAAGATTTACAATAATTTCTTATTTTGTCAGTTTTTGACTGAACATCTGTCAGTGTTCCTGTCAGTGCTCTAACACACTGCTGTCTTTGTCATTCTCTTTCCTTAGATGACATCAGACACTACTATGGTGAGGGACAGGCCCTCTACTTTGGCTTTCTGGAGTACTTCACCTTTGCCCTAGTACCGATGGCCCTCATTGGGGTGCCTTACTATCTGTTTGACTGGGAGGACTACGACAAATATGTGGTCTTTGCTGTGTTCAACTTGATCTGGTGCACTGTTATCCTAGAGGTATGGACACTGATTTTACTCTCATATAAATCATTATATAATATATATATATATCAGTGCATATAGCTTTTTGGAAAACATGGTTTTCATTCAAGTGTACACCTGGTTGTGTTACAAGAGTCATTTCAGGAATTTTAGATGTCCCAGACAAGAAGTCCTATTTAATTATTTTTCAAAAATATTTCATGATTTTAGAATAATGCTCTTGAGGCAGTATGAGCAGTGTTTTTATTTTTACCATTGCATGGTTCACATTGCACATCAGTGACACATGAACATGGGATAAATGAGTAAAACACAAATATAAATACTCTAAATCGTTTCAGTAAAGATGCTAATACTTTATCTACCAATGCTGTATTTTCTTGATGCTGAAAAGTCTTTGTTTCATAACCCTTTTCTTTGCATATCAAAGGGCTACAGGGCAATAGATATTTTTTTTTCTTCATTCATTCCATTCACTGTTGCTTCTGGCTGTGTGTATTTGCTTTGTATTCTTTTCATACCTCTTTAACACTGAGATAAACTGCAAGTTACACTTTTCAAAGAAATCAAGGCTTTACTGTAGTGCAAATAAGTTGCTATAAGAGAACGTCTGTGGTTGAAGTTCCATTAATTAACAACAAATCAAAAAAAGACTTATGCAGACTGACAGCAATGAAACAGCAGAATTGTAGTTTTTAATTGGAATGAAAAATATGAACAAAGAAATAATGAAACTGAGGAATAGCTTGAGTCTTTTTTTCAGACAGGAAACAGCAGAACATTTTTTTCTGAGCCCATTAAAGAACCCTTAAATTCCACCTTCCATCACAGTAGTTTCAGCCTGACTGAAGTTCAGGTCATCTTGCGTCGCATCAAGGGAAATCTGATGAGTTTGTTGTTGCCTTTGCTGCTTACTCATCCCCCTCTGCTCCTGAACTGACACAGCAGCTTCAGCTGGAGGAGTTGGGAGAGGTGGTAGAGTTGCATTACAGCAGAGCCTTGTTCTGGACTGGTTCAGACTGGCTGACTGTCAAACCCTCCTGAATGGGAGGAGATTTGAGATTGCAGAGCAAAAGAGGTGGTAGAGCAGAAACAACAGCAGAGTCAGGTTCTCTGCTGGACCTCTTACTCGCATTGTACTCCAGGACTGAAGTGTAGAGGAGGTTCATAAGTGGAGGTCTGAGAAGTGATGAAACCCATCAACAGAAGAAAATTATTGCAGCATGTGGCTGGAATGTTTGGTCTGGCTGTGGGCTATCTGAAAGCTACTGTACTTGTTCATCCAAACCAGTGTTTGCAGTTAATTCAGCACTGAGGGCCAGAGGATCTTTTGGAGAAATGACAGCCTTACCTAAATCTCTGTGTGGCTCAGGGTGCTTCTTCTGGTCAGGCTTTTCATCCACATCTGCAGCAGGGCTATTATGACCTTTGCATCATCTACCACATCTGCTGGCTGGGACAGTTGTCTTTGGTTTGTGGATTTGCAGGCTGGCTTGTCTCTGTCTGAGTCTGAGGCTCAAACTTTGGGGACCAGCTTCATCACTACCTCCTGTGGGACCAATAGAGCCTGAGAAATGATTTAGGAATATTGAAAACAAGAAGACATGACCTCTGGTGAAACTAGCAGCCTTCTTGTTTAGCCACATGTCTCTCTTTTGCATGCTGGTGTTGACCACACACACCAGCTTAAGAGAGGCTGAAATCATTAAATTCAGAATCCCACACCTCCACTCTCAATGTGCTCTTGTACTTTTCTACTGGAAGCTCAGCCATATCTCCAGCAGTCACCTTCAGAAAGGAGCTGTGCCTTCTGCTGAAGCTTTAAAAGTTCAGCCACCAACGCAATCTTTGATTTATAGCAGTTGATGTGGGAGCAAATCTGCAGAGTGCATTTACATATAACTTGTCAAATTACACCCTGATGGCTCTGTAGAGGTCTCTGCGTCCATCAGTAAACTGCATTTCATTTTTTTATTTATTTATTTTTTAAATGTAAGGATTGGTTAGTGTTGTACTTACCTCTGTAGACATAAAGTATGCAACTTTACCAAATAAACTCTTTAGATGGATTAAGAAACCTGATGATTTTCATATTTTTAAATTCAGTGTCTCCATTGTGTGAAGTGGACATACAATATAATGATGTATTCAGTTCAAAAACATTGTACATTGTTAGCTACAGAATAAGAAAAACAGTGGTTAGCAGCATCAACTGCTTCAGTTTGGCTGTTGTTTTGTCTCATTACTATGTATTAGTTCATTGACAGAGGTAGTGTTTATTGAGCAAGTGAAAATGATGTAAATAAGCCTCTCTTCCTTGATGCTTAACATATTAGTTTAAAACTGTGTTCAGACCCATATACAGTGTATCATCACCCTGTGATCACCCTACAGTTGACTACACATCACCTTCTCATTTCTAGTACATCTGTTTCGATGTGTGATCATGACAGATAATCATATGAGCATGATTTCTAAGATCAGGCTGAGCTGTTGTTTAAAACCTGTATTTACACCTTTTGCTTCATTCAACTTTAAGACTGTTCAGCACTTCATAAGAGTCCTCGTCCAGGCTTTCTTGATGTGTGTCTAGTATAATGATTTGCAGTGTACTCAGACATTTCTCACTTTTCATGTTGCCCCTCTACGCCAAAATCATTTAAATTAATTTCCCTCATTTAATTGACAATAAATTGTCCATAATAGCAAAAAAAAAAGAAAAAGAAAAGGTTTCCTGCAAATTTATTAAAGGGAAAAACTGAAATATAACAGAAAAAGGTATTCAGACTCTTTGCTCTGGCACTTAAAATGCAGCCTTTCTTTTCGATTGATCATCTTTGAGATGTTTCTACATTTTGATTCAAGTCCATCTGCGATAAATTCAAGTGATTGATCATGATTTGGGCAAAGTCTCACATCTTGCATATCAGAGCTAAAATAAGCCATGAAGTTAAAACAAACTGCCTGCCTGTTGAGTTCAGATACAGGATGGTGTTTAGCAGTCGTGGAGGTATTACAAAGAAAACAGTTTACCTTTATGCTGTTTTACTTACATTTTACAGACTACACAAATAAGGTATGAGTCAAAAAAATAACTGACCCATTATTTGTTAAGGAGTTGGTTATGACTGCAAGAATTACGTACACCACAACAAAAAATGTTATTCACATTGCCCTACGCTGCTGAAAGCATTGGATAACCTCATGTGGGAATACAACTTCAGGGCTTTAAGAGGAGCAGTTAGACTATAAAAACATTGTCGGAATACTGTAGATGTGCATTAACATATTAAAGTATCGACTGAAAGAGTAGCAGACTATTGAAAGCTGAGTAACTGATTTGCTAAACTTTTCCTCCCCCAGTTATGGAAGCGATTCAGTGCCTCACTGGCCTACCGCTGGGGCACACTGAGCAGGAAAAAGGCCTTTGAAGAACCTCGGCCTGGGTTTCATGGTGTCCTCGGGTTCAACCCTGTGACAGGACGCGAGGAGCCCGTCTATCCCACAGCCAAGAGGCACCTGCGAATCTACCTTGTGTCCCTGCCTTTTGTCCTGCTCTGTCTCTACCTGTCCCTCTACGTCATGATGATCTACTTCCACATGGAGGGATGGGCGCTGACGATCCACGATGAGGACCCCACGTTCTGGACAGGAATACTGTTGTTTATTCCCAGTATTATCTACGCTGTGGTCATAGAGATCATGAACCTCATCTACAGATATGCCGCTGAGTTCCTCACTGAGTGGGGTGAGTAGTTCTGTCATGTTCTAAATCTATTTTAGGAAGTTCCAGTATAAAAACAATGTAAATCAAATCATGCACTACATTAAGTTTAGGGAGTTTATGAAACAACAATTATAAACATGTTTTCTGCCTCACAAATATGAGAATTAGCTGCTTTTATTTTCATAGTAGAGTAATTGCTTGAGGTTCATCTAAAGATGTTACACTAGGTCCTATTGACTTGTAATGGACCTTTTTCACTATTCAGTCATGTTTTATAGACTAAATAGGTAATCTATTAATTGAGGGAAGAATTTTTTATCTATATGATGACCTTGCAAACTAAAATGCAGATGATATTACCTGTGATAAGCTGTAAGCGTGAATGTATTATTTAAGAGTTGAGTTTTAGTTGCTGACTTGCTTCTCCTCTTGGTGTTTAGAAAACCACAGACTAGAGTCTTCATATCAGAATCACTTGGTCCTCAAAGTACTAGTTGTGAGTATAAATAACAACATTCCAAAATTCACTCTTTGTTGATCAGACTGCAGTTTTTCTTGTCACCACCAACTTATATCTGTTCTGCCTTGTTTCTGTTTAGTTCAACTTCTTCAACTGTTTCGCCTCGCTGTTCTACATCGCCTTTGTTATGCAGGACATGGTGCTGCTCAGACAGGTAGGCCTACCTTCCCTTTATTCAACATTTACTTGTATTCTGTTTCTTTTTATTCTTTTTTTTTTCTACTTCAGTCCTTCCCTAAGTTTTCCATAATTGTATTTGCTTTCATAGTTTACTTGTTCTCCATAGTTTACTTCTATCTTCTTTTCTTATTCTGTTGATATTTTCCCCCTTCCTTGATTCCTTTACATATTTGATCTTCATACCTGACCACTGTACCTTCCTGTGTCTTTCTTTGTGTTTTTTTCTTTCTATACTTTTATGCATTTTACTTTTTAACACACTCACTAATTTGTCTTCCCTCCTTTCCCCTCTCACGATCTCTGACTTCTCTTGCATCTTTCTGTTTGTTGTTGACTTTGCACAGAGCCTGGCCACCTTGTTAATCACGAGTCAGATCTTGAATCAGTTCATGGAAGCCTTCCTGCCCTACTGGCTCCAGAGGAGGCGCAACAAAAAGGTTATCCGCAAAGTCCAGAAACAAAAAACTTTGGAGGAAAAAGAGCTTCCTCTGGAAGAGCAGGTGCGGCTGGAGGCCGACATGAGCACGTACTTGGTCAGTACACCTCGTCTTCATTCAAATATGAATCTAATAAAAATCAAAATCAATACACCAGACAAATTACTATGATGTCTTCTTTAGCATCCTTTAATTTGTGGTTGTGTGTGGGTTTGTGCCTCTTTGTGCCTCTTAACTTCTTTCAGGGAACATTTGATGACTATCTGGAGCTGTTCCTTCTGTTTGGATATGTCAGTCTGTTCTCCTGCGTCTACCCTCTAGCTGCTGTCCTAGTGGTGTTAAACAACATCACTGAGGTTTATTCTGATGCCTTCAAAATGTGTCGAGTGTTCAAACGACCCTTCTCTGACCCAGCTGCAAACATAGGAGTTTGGCAGGTGAGACACGCAAGCACAGCGAGCCTGTGTGAACTATAATGTCAGATTGTTTCTGCAACTTTTGTGGATTTTTCAGATTTTTCTTGACACATGCAAGGTAGTTTATGTTTTGTTTTTTTTTAGGAAAAGCTAAACACAAAAGATATATGATGTTCTTTTTTTTTTTTTAAAAAAAACAAAGACCAAAAGCAAAGGTTTAAATATTACTAAAAAGCTTCATACTCGCAAATGATACTCATATCCTCCATATCCTTGTTGAAATATTGAGTGTCCTCCTGAAATGTTATCCGAGTGCACTGTCAATGAGAACATTATAGCTCCCTAGGGCAAAATATTGTTAGCCTTATTTTTAACATGCAGTCCTAATCTGAAGAGAGCTGGTTGATTAAGAACAGCATACTGTTTCACTTACTCTACAATGTGCCCAGCTGGCAAAAAATGGTCTCCATTTTTGGAAACAAATCGTTGACTGTTGCTGTCTTTCTGTCTCTGTCCAGCTTGCCTTTGAGGCCATGAGTGTGATAGCTGTTGTTACCAACTGTGCGCTGATCGGCATGTCCCCACAAGTCAAAGCTTACTTTCCTGACTCAGAGACACAGCTAATACTGTGGACAGTGGCTATTGAGGTAATTCATACACATGCATGCACAAAGACACTCCCATGTAATTCAACATATAAATTAACTATATACATAGAAGAGTAGCGTTGCGTATGTGATTACTTTGCAGCACAACAATAGCATTGTAATTGTTTTGGGGTCACTTATTACAAAACAATGCTACCAACCAACCTATAAGGAATAGGGAAAAGTCAGTTTTCCCAGAGCAATCTGCAGGATTGTCACAGAAGGTGGTCTTTTTTTCAATATCACCCATAAAACCCTGATCTGATTTTTATGCTTTTTGTTATTTGTGCCCACCTGTGTTCTAGATAGACTACTGCCAAATTCTGCCCCATTCTTACCTTTTTAAAAAGCTGTGCCACACTAACAGTCTCTATGCAGACTAAACATGTTATAATATCATCAGACACCTAGCACAAAACAGTTCTGCCATTATATCTTCTTTTACGAAGCTAGTTTAGTGTAACTCGGTTTGTTAAATGTTGGCGCACAGAACAAGGAGAACCATGTTTTGGGCTATTCTTTTTAGAATTGTATTGATCTCTGACTTATTTTGGTAGTACTCAGTATAGTGTTTGCCTTATTTTGGGCTGTGTGGACTGTGCTGCAACATTTTCTCATTAAACATATTGACAGTAATGACTTCAGGTGATTTGGCTGCAAGTGAATTATATATTTTTTTAATAGCAGAAAACGTAACTTTTCATCGTAGAAAAAAATTATGTTAACAATAGCTTAGTTAGAGCATTAGTGTCCCAGAAATGCATAATAGCAGGGTACTGAAGCAGCACATCGAAATAGAATGTCGTTTTTTTTATAAGTTGTCAAATTACACCTGTATTTTTCCAGTTATGACAGATGAGAACAGTGTGTCTGCTTTGGAAACTGTATATTTTCATTCTGTGCTAATTTGTTGGGTAAAACAATGTTCCTAAAATGCTTATGTTCAGTGTTCAGTTAACAGCACTGAAATAAAAGTTAAAGGTTCTGAATACCCCAGGCAGTTAGTCCTGCTTCTACTGGCTGTGTACTAATCAATTACATAGTGGTAGTTGAAGGGCCAGTGAATATTTCTGCTCACTAGATGGAGCCACAGTCCAAATTAGATCCTCATAGATCTGTGGGTGAGACTGGGAGGATGGGTCGTGGAGGGAGAGGGAGAGAGATTGTGTGTGCATGAGAGTGTGTGAACAAACGTTTATTGCGCTGTTCATAGTCACACTATCATTGTTTGGTGTGTGTGTGTGTGTGTGTGTTAAATCCAGAATCCCCCCCTCCATATTCTTTCTCTCTTGAGTCTACTTCTATTAACATTAACGTCAGCCCGCTCCCTTCTTCTGTGTTGTGTTCAAATAGCACAGGCATATTGCCTAACACACTCACACACACCTCATACCTCCAGAGAAAAAGTACCAAAATAACAACGCAAACATAAATAGTGAGCCTGTAGTGGGTGGATGGGTAGGGGGGGGAGGTTTCTTTAGGACATTCATAGAGAAAAAAATTGTATGTTTGTGCTGCTTTAACAAGCTCCTAGGGAATGATTGTTCTAACCATCTAGTTATCGTCTCAGACTGTAAAACACTCTCTAAAGTCTACTGCACCTCACTGTACAGCATTTCTCTGCTGATGCCAACCCAGAAACTGGGTCATATTGATCGTCTGCATGTTTGATTGAATGTGTGGTCTCCACCCACAGAGCTGAATGATAAACTCCACAGTCCATGGAAAACTTGTTCCCTGTGTGTGATCTGTCTTCTTCAGCAGCTGTCGGGATTGCCTTTTGTTTAAATAAATCTTCTTTTGTTGGGAGTTCTGTTTTGGTGAGTGATAGATTCAGTTGTTTTAGCCTCAGTTTGCCATCAGGCTACTGCGGGTTCAGACCACTGACTCTTAGATTTCTTTTGACGACCATTTGGAAACACTTGACTTTTGTCCTTTGCGCTGCCAAAACAGCCCTGACCTGTATGGGCATCAATAGAGGACCTCTGGGAGAGTCCTGGAGTCCTGGGGTTTCTGGCTCCAGGATATTGGCAGCAGATGCTTTGGGTCCTATAGGTTATTTGCTGGGGCATCAATGGGTCGAGTTTTTTCCAGTGCACCATGCTGATGCTTGATCAGATTGGGATCTGGGGAGTCTGGAGGCTCAGTCAATTTCCTGGGCTCTTTGTCTTGCTCCTTGAGTTGTTCCTGGACAGTTCTTGCAGTGTAGCAGAGTGCATTTTCCTGCTGGGGGAAGCTGCTGTCATGGAGGACACCCATCAACGTTGATCAGTGTTATTCACTTCACCTGTCAGTTGTTTTTAATGCTGTGGCTCACTGGTGCATATTGGTAACTAGGAACAACCAAATGAGTAAAGTCATTGGCGTTTTGCTACAGACACCCTGGGGACTTTCTAAAAGAGCCATTGTGGTAAACAGCTTCACTGTGGGGGCCACAGGTCATGAGCTCTGTTGATGGCAACCTGCAGCTTTTTAATTTATTGGTGGTTTCTTTGCATTTGCAACTTAGCTGACTTCATGTGAGGACCTGTGTTCTGTGACAGCTCCTGGGTTTACACATACAGAAAATTAATTTACGGTCCTGTTAACAGCTTTGTTCAATGTGTGAACCATCTCTGTTTCGTATGTCAGCATGTTAACTGTTGTTAATTAGCACTAAACATTGGGTGCAATAGTATCCGTTTTGGGGGTATTTTTTTAATACAACGAACTATTTAACAAATTAAAGATTTAACTTAATGGTACAAGATGAAAAGTTATAGCATCATGAAAGGCATTATAATTGTTCCTGAGGGGACCATGAATATCTGCACTAGGGCCCGACCGATATGGATTTTTCGAGGCCGATGCTGATTCCGATATTTGGCAGAAAAAAATTATTTCTGCAGTTACTTACTGGCTTTTAAGCTGTTAGCTAACACTATACTAGGTTGGCATCACGACAGCCATGTCATTGCTAACATAAACAGACAGGGAGTAGCTTAAGCTAGGTTAGCACAACTTTAGCAATGCAACGTGAATGAAGAGCATGACCGACGCAACGAAGCACGCGTCAGTTGTCATGACATATGGCAAAGAGAGTTAAAGTGAAACAGGAGACATGTTGAGTCTTTGTTAATGTCACAACGACGTTATGAACTTATCTGTCAGTAGCTCCGCTCAGCCCACTCCTGTGATGCTGCCTGGATGTAGCTTCCTCCTGTACTACTAAAAAGACAGCGGTGAGGACTGAGGACTGAATGGAGTCAGAGCTCCATCTAGTGGACAAATGGCACAACAGCAGCATTCTGCACGACTGACATTTAACAGCATTTACTGTTTAATGAGAAAACAAGAATATATCAGTGTTAAATGGCAAAACTCCAGCCGATGATTATTTTGAAAAGGGCTATAATCGGCCCTAATCTGCACCAATTGTAACAACAATCCATTCAATACCTGTGAAGACATGTATGTTATGAATGTGAATCTCATAATAACACAGGATTCGTTCTCACTGGGACTGTATTGTGATGTTAATGTTACCACCTTATTTCATGGCACTTTCTCCAGCCAGTTGTTGAAATGTTTCAGTCTGGACCGAAGTCAGCTGACTGGCCAACAATACCATCCACAGATGCATGAGATTAGCATTCCTAGAGCTGTGAATAAGTTATCAAAGATTCGTAGCAATTAGACTCAAAATCACATTTCCATGGGCTGACGTAATTAGTGTGTATTTGTACAAAGCACTACTGTGGAATCAATTATTTTATTGTTAAAAAAAACACTGACAGTGTCTTCCTCCATAATGTCTAAATCCAGGAAGGTAACAGAAGTATACACTCAAGCTTTTCATTTGCTTTGGACATTATTTGACATTTTAGTAAAAACTTCAAACTTGACCTGCTGACCTTTACCTTAAATACTCGAAAAACCTTTACACAAGACATGCTATACATTTTGAAGACTACAACCATAATTTGTTGAGCACATTAAGACTCCTCAGAGGATCAACTCCCTAATATTTCTTCTCCCTTCACTTTTATAACACAGGCTAATATCCATGAGATTCAGCAGTCTCATTTCTGTTACCAAATGGGTAACGTTTTTTAATCACTTTTATCATGACCTTTGTTTTTGTCCTCAGGACAGACATTAAATGTGTAACCTCTCTGCTGGTAATGCTGTAACGCTACAGAAGTGTAGCATGAGCAGCACATTAGCAGAGCAGCAGCCACGTCATTGTTTTATTTGTTTCTATAGGAGGTATTTAGGTGCAGTAGACTGTAGGTCCCCTGTGTTTTGGCAGTGATTGTAGTTATGCCCATGAGACAGAAGAAACAGACTTGAATAAAAATAATACACTTTAGGCAGGTTGTAACAGCAGATTTCATTCGTAAAGCAGGAGCTGTTTCACAGTCTGTGTAAAGATCTGTACTGTTTCAATCTAAAACTGAAAGATGTTGTTGAACTGCCTCTTGTGTAGACATGGTGCTAATAAAATAATCAGGTGTGTTGATTGTTCTGTCCAACACTTTTGTATTGTTTGGGTTTAATGTGCATGAGCTGCAAGCAGAGGTTCAGGCTTGGAGACTTGTTGATTGAAAGCCCCAAAGGGATGTTAGGAGAGTCACACAGGGAGCATGCCACCTCTCATCCATCCCTGCCGCCTTCAAACAGTCTTCTAGGTTGAATGGAAGTGAACATGACTTTTTATAGCAGTAGACTGCACTTTGGCCCTGGGGGTGGTGTTCTGTCTCTGACATATATTCTGCCCCCTCACCTGAATAAGGAGAGGAGGCGAGATGCTGCTCTGGAGAACACACAAAAATAACCGGGGCAGCTCACAGCGTGTGTGAGGCTATTACTCTCTGTAGTTTTGTATACCAGTGATCTATCCTACCATGGCGTCCTGCATGTGACGACACACTACATCAGTTAGAACCGTCATGTATACGTTTGTATGTGCTTTGCTCTATAGTGTACATGACGGGCCTGTGATAGAAGGCTCAAATCAA